CAAAGATAGGCAAAAATTAGTGATGTGGAAAGATCTATAGATTCCGTAAAGGAAACATACCAAAGATTACTTTATTTCCCTCTTTCCATATATAGGGTTTCAACAGTCTCGCCAGGATACACTGAGCCTACAAATCGGACCTTGATGTCCTTGAAAGGTCCAAACTTTTCGTATACATGTTTACCCGAAATACCAAAGAAGCAGAGCCCGTGTAAGATGGGGTTTTCGAATCCACCGACTGCAGAAAACGAAGGGTCAATGTGTAACGGATTGAAGTCGCCATTCAAACGATATAAGGCAGCTTGCTTTGCTTCTGTCTTCTCAGCGATGACTGCATCTGGTTTTCGATTGGGTGGCTTATTGGGAGCCGATGCTGCACCTCGATCACTCGAGGTTTTCTTTCCTCCGAATCCACCAGATCCACGGATGAATACTGTGCCTTGATTTTCAAACAATAATTCACCTGATTCCTTGTCATACGTGTGGGTGATAGTAACCACAGCAGCCGCCTTTCCTTTGTCAGTTGCTTCCATCAACCTTGTTTGATTTACAAATGTACCAGAGGTCGGAATCGGAAACTTTTTGATCACCAAGTACTGCTCGCCATGTAGAAGCATCATAGGGCTGAAATTAGGAAGCCAGTCGACTGAGCAGAAAGCAGAACATCAGTTAGCAACAACCTGTACAGTGTATTTACCCCCAAAAGTCTAGATGAGATACTAACCAGGCATTTGGCTGGAAGATGGGAATTGTGGGATCACCCCGAACGTTGGGATAACCTGGAATTCCTCATCAGCTTCGTAGACATATTTTAATTGCTTCTCGTTCGCCCCGATTCCCAAATTGTATAGGATACAATCTTTTTCAGTAAACGTATACTCCATAGCTTCTGGTACAGATTTCTTTGCAGTTGCAACAAGCTCTGAATCTTCTGGATCTGAGTAATCTCCAACAGAATCGCCGGATGAAGAGTCCTCCGATTCTTCTTCGGCACCGAAGTTGGCCACAATTTGCTCCAAAGCTTCAGTGGTACTCGTTGGATGCGTGGCTCGCTCGTCAAATTTGATGATCTGGTTCCATTTCTCTTTGAGCTTTTCTGGGCTCACTTGACCAGCTGGGAACTGCATAATCACAGATTAGTATGAAAGTTGCTGTGAAAGCATCGCGCAAGATTACTTACCGAGTGCCCAAAAGAGCGTTGCCATCTCACAGCCGCGCACCAGCCACCGCTGACTTCGTACAACTTCCCGGTGGTGTCTCGGTTGGCTTCGCTTGTCAAATACCCCACTAAAGGCGCTACGTAATCGGGTTTGAAAGCTTGAACCATCTCGTCGGGCCAGATGGTGGCTGTCATTGAAGTTCCAGCATTGGGTGCAATCGTGTTGCAAAGTATGTTATGCTTCTTTCCCTCAATAGCCAAAGTCTGAGTCAACCCCAAGATCCCTGCCTTAGCCGTGCTGTAATTGGCCTGTCAGGTGAAGGTTAAGAAAAGTTATCAAGTTATCCTCGGAGCAAAGCCACTGAAAAAAGCCACATCAAACACAATAACTCACCTGTCCAAAGTTACCATAAATGCCCACAGCACTAGTGGTGTTGAGGATCCTCCCATACTTTTGTTTCAAAAAAATCGGCCAGGCAGCGTGTGAAATACTGTACGTTCCCCGCAAGTGTACACGAAGCACGATATCCCACTCGGCATCAGACATACTGTGGAAGCTTTTGTCGCGCAAGATCCCAGCGTTGTTGATGACCACGTGAAGTCCTCCAAAGCTTTCTAAAGCAGTATTAACAACCTTCGGGCCATCTTCCACAGATGAAACACTGGCCACAGCCTGAGCTCCCAATTGTTTCACTTCATTAACTACCTTTTCGCAAGCTTCTTTACTCATATCATTCACGACAACATTCGCTCCAAGTTTACCAAACATAAGCGCGTACGCACGGCCGAGCTGGAAGTTTGTTCAGAGAATATCATCAGTTACTTGGATTCATAAGTATCTATGGAATAGTGCAGAGACATTGACTTACTCCGTTTCCAGCTCCGGTGACCAAGACAGTCTTCCCACGAAATTCCACGGGCGAAGAAGCCTGCTTGTTGGAGGCAAGCTTTTTGGCTCTCTCTAAAAGCTCCAAGTAGTTGGCATCTGTGATGTTCTCGGGGTAAGTTGGATTTTCGAAGTCATTGATCTCATCAAATCTGGCCATGACCTACGGATGACGTGTAAACAGGAAGAGAGAGAAAAAGCTGGATCAGCCGCTAAGCAGACTTGTGATGGTTGGAGAAAATAACATACAGCAGACGGGGTAAAGCTATCATCAGTCTTGAAGACAGCGCCACGACATCTTTCCCTTCGAAGTTTTCCATACCATCCAGCCCCAGATTCGAATACTTGGCCGCTTTCTTTTGTGTTCTCTTCAGAGACCAAATATGCAACCAGAGGGACTATTGCTTCGGGTGTCAATTCCTTCAGCATTTCTGGCGGCATGATAGTAGCAGTCATTTGTGACGCTGCCACAGGAGCTATCGCATTGACAAGGATGTTGTACTTCGCTCCTTCGCGAGCCAGGGTTTTAGAAAAGGTGACTTGAGATAGTTTAGCGGCCGAGTAGTTCGCTTGCCTGTTTGTCAAAAATACATATGATTGATGGGTGATCGATTAGCTCTAACAGGAACAAAAAACAAGATACTTCTAGATGACTGACCCGAAATTGCCGTAGAGACCTGCAGCTGATGCAGTCTGTGGCAGACCAAAGATTGGACTCAGTAGCTGTCAGTTTCTTAATGATGATAAAGAGTACGTACATTGATAATTCGACCAAATTTTTGCTTTCTCATGATAGGCCAAGCAGCCTTAGTACACGCATAAGGCCCTTGAACGTGGACGGCTTGGACGACATCCCACTCTTGGTCTGTCATAGACTTGAACGACTTGTCCCTTAGAACTCCGGCATTGTTGATAAGGATCTATATATGAGTTGGAGGGGTTGAGTTATGAGGTTAGATCAAAAACAAGAAACAATCCAAAGATAAAAACTGTTGTGAATTAACTACTCACATGAACCGTGCCAAAGTTATCGACTGCTTGCTTGACTATTTTGTGACCCTCTACTACGTTATCATAATTCGCCAAAGCCTTTCCTTTACCAGATGTCTTGATTTCGCTGACTACTTTATCAGCAGCGTCCTTGCTCATGTCATTTACCACCACGTTGGCCCCACGGGAGGCAAAGAATATAGCGTAACATTTCCCTAAACCACCACCAGCACCCGTTACAATTACGGTCTAATAGATGCAAAGATGAAGTTTTGTCAGCTAGAATTCAATCTCTACTGCAGACCAGGATTTTTTAATGAAACAGGAAGGGTGAGGTGGCAAACTTTTTGGTTAAAACTGATCGGAGTTGACATGATAATTCTGGATGCAGAGATGTAAGACTTGATCGACGGTACGTAAGAGTTGGCAAGAGGTACAGCACAGGTTGATCGACGCTACCTAAGAGTTGGAAAGAGAAACAGCACAGGTTATGAAGATAGCGGATAGCAGGATTCAGCTGAAAAGTGACTGAACAGCTGATGATGTTCCAATACATAAATATAAAAGCTGCTTACGTTTGACCAATGCAGCGTTTGTGACCGATTCGAGTAAGATTGTTGATAAGAAGGCTTGCTGATGTTCAGGTGAGTGTCAATCGAAAGGAGTTGAGGATAAGCAGGTTTGATTAACAGTTCAGGAGATGGGGATGTTGAGTGTAGTCGGTAATGAGAGGGATGGTCAGGAGGAAGCTCATGTGGTTTTTGGCGTGGTGCCTTTCCAGATTGGGTTGAATTCCAAACATTGATCGAGATTCGGAATCGATGCGGCTCGACTTGGGACTCCGACTGGGTCAGGCGACGATGACGTCATGGGTTTAGCAAACTCCTCAAGATATACATACCATCGCTACATATCCGACTCTATCCGAGCCAGGCCCAAGCTGTATGTAGCTTGAGGAAGGATGATGGGTTTTTTGCCTGAGGGGATTTCTGAGGTGCAACCGATTTCGGTGTGTCTATCGATGCGAAATAAAGCGGCTGGGATGGTGGAAGCTAGGTCATGATCTCACTCCACAAGAATGCTCATGTGCTTGGGAAAAGCTGTTTCTAAAGCGCCATTCTTTCCTGCGTTCAAAATTCGGCGTATAATCTGCCCAACACTTTTTCAATCAAATTCGGGAACGGGAGACAGTGCCCCTCATTATCTTGGACGGTCTCCCAAGCTTCTTTCATCAAAACGATGGGAAACCGGGGATTGGGGAAACAAGAAGTGAAGTTGAACAGCGAATTCCAGCGGGGGAGGGGGAGTTCGTAGAATCCAGAGAACGTGCCCGGTGGTGGGTCGATCCGTGTTAGTCGCCGTACGTTATCACTTTGGTTAAGGCAGAAAAGGAAACGACGAAAGAAATAGCAAGTCAATTATCAGAGCGCTTATATGGTGACAAGGGATATCCGTCCAACATATTTCACGGTGCTCTTAAGCTTCACATTTAGCATGGGCGGCACCCTTGGCCACAGGGTTCGAGGCACTGCGGGTGAGCTACCTCAGAGTTGAGTACAACCAGAGCCCAAGCAAGAGTCCAAGGTGCATGGTGAAGAATATACGGTTGGGGTGGTGGTGGATGATCGAGCTTGCTGTTTTGGGATGTGGGTTGGGGATGGGCAAAGGAACGGTCAAAAGCTGCCCTTTAAATAGCTTTGAAGGGTCGCTTGGTAAACAGTCAACTCGCTCTATTTCTTAGCTGGAAGCATGCCAGCTCAATCGAGACTGGTGCTTGGCTTAAACGTGGCTCCCTTTTCCAACATAAGCATATATATAGAAATCCGATCGAATTGGCTCATCAATGCCAAGTTTCACCGCAACAACTTTGCTCAAAATTTGAAATCGACCAGACAACCTCGCCAAGCTGGCTCGAGGAAGAAGAGTTGGTCTCGGCTGACTTCCCATGCGCTAGGGACAGCAACCTCCGTGGTCGTCGCGTCTGCGCGGCCAGAGGGCACCGGATGTGCTTTGGGCAATCAGCTGTCGAACCTGTTCTTCGCCGAGCGGCAAGTCGATTTCGCTACTTCCGTCAACCAAGAACCCAGACGGTGGAGCAGTCGAAAGCGCTTCCCAGCATGCAGATGTCCCGGAATTGTTGATGGCTTTATTAAACGCGTCGCTCAATTCTGTTTTTAGAGGCAGATTTTTGCTAAGATTTTGTTCCATGTCGCGTGCTGCAGTACCAAAAATTGGAAATTGAAGGTCAGGAGAATGTTTTCTTGCAAACAATTACTCGGCTTCGCAAGAGAGCCGCATGGAGGAAGGAATTGTTTGATGACTTGGTGTAGCTCTGTGTATGCAAAAACGTTCATGTACACGGGTGCCTTTGTTATAAGGACGTGACACCAATTCCAACTTCCAAGAACATGGCATGTTGTTATGTAATTTCGGGTCCCCACTCGAATAAAGTGTGCAATGGCGGTACCGGCGGCCTGGCGAAACTTTCGCGGGATGTTTTCGCCTATCAAGTTCAACCGTCCAGGGTGGGTATTTTTTTTTTTTTTTGGGGGGGGGGGGGGGGGGGAGGTCATCACTCGTGACTGGGAGGATTCCTCCTAGTCATACAGACTTGTACAGTCTCCATGCCCCAGAAGATTCCTCTGAGCCATGGAGACTGTCCCTCGGCCCTCCGAGTCCAATCTCTCAAAGTTGACATTTATCCAACATTTGTTCATGATCACCAGAGCAGACTGAGCATAGGAGGAATAAGCAGATGTGAGTTTCCGCCAACAACACAATGGTCAACACACCGGGCGCACTAAATGATCAATCCAAGTGGCAGGAAGTGCATTGCATGTGTGCCACGAGAGCAGTCAGCCTTCTTCCGATGTTTTCCCATCTCGTCGATATATGAGTGTAGATTTCAACCCAAGCCAAAAAAAAAATATGAATTCGAGCCAAAAAAATACGTTCAATTGAGTAAAGAAAGAACAGCTGAAGATCTACAGAATCTGCATTGGAGCAAGACAGAAGAATGTCATGGAAGATTTGAGTTGTTACTACATAGGATGTTGGTAATGATGAGCTACAGGCTATCCTTGATATCGTTTGAGACCCGAGATTTCATTGAGCAGTGCTTGAAGAGCATCGTCATCTTTTCCCGCAATACTGAAAAGAGATGAAAGTTTTTTTATCAAAATTTATAAGTTGATGAGTCACGTCATTTTATTGGGGTAATGTTTTCGGGGGTGATGATCCACGTTTCAGGAGAGTCTAATAAATCCTTTGTTTGGTAGAGCGAGGTAGGAGGACTCACCTTGGTATCAGACTCTTTGCTTCTTCGGCTTCTTCGGGACATAGCGAGGCTAGTTGCGCTAATTCAAACTGCTTCAGAGTGGTATCTTTACTCAAAATTCTGTTTTTGACGGTCAAAAAAGGAGGAGCGACGAAATCTTCAGCATCTTGTGCCTGTTACACATTTTGAGGTGTCTATTGGTTAAATTTGTTTTGATGATTTTTCTTCTTGTTTGAATGTGAAAGTATGTAGTTTGTGTTTTTGGATGGAAAGACGAGGGGAAAGAAAAAAAAAACTTTGAAGCAAAGGACTATGGAAGTGACTCAACTGTCGAGCCGCCTGGGCCGAATCGGTCGAGTTAAACCTCGCAAACTGATTGACATATTCGTGGGTCTTCTTGTATACGCTGTCCATTATGACGGGGTTCGGATTGGGAGCGATTGAGGTAATATGCGATTTGAAGGATAAGCAAATCATGTACTCAAAGGTGGTAGGAGGATCAGGTCCTAGATGATGGTGACTAACGCCGTATCAGCTCGCTTTTCTCCTGTTTCCAGTAGTAGCTTGACTTCGGATATCGACAAACAACCAGCCATGTCGAATTCTTCGATGTGTAGACCAGTCACGAAAGAATGATAGTGTCAGTTCATTCGATATTATCAACTTTTCGAGCGGAGTTTTCATGAAGATATGAATAATCGGGATGAGTAGCTGACCTTGTCCCAACTTGAGTTGCGAAGCGTCTTCTTCTTGAATTTTTCCCTTTCGAAGTGCCATGTTTCTATCCTGGTTTGTTGGAGTTCGGTATTTCGTTTTGGTCGAATGCCCTGGTCCGGTTCTCGATGTTTCAAGTTGGCTGCTGAGAGGGCCTCGCGGGCTTCGGGTACTTCGGGTTCCGGGTATCTCGGTTTTCGGATTGCCGGGGACGGACTTGGGAGGCCTCCCTCGGGGAGTGATCGGATCTCCTAGTTGAAGGAGTTCACAGTCTGACGTAACCACCACCAGTCAACCCACACCAACCACAGCTAACCACACACTCACAGTGCATACATAGTCAACAGGCACCAACCAACCGAGCTCAACCAAGAAAATAAAAACACCATTCCATTCTCACTTCTTCGCTCGTCTCTCAACTTCAGGGTCAAGTCGATCAGAATCCAAGCTAGGCTTTTTAACTGTTCTGCAAACCCTTGTCGCTCAGAGTTCCAAACCATGGCTGAAGGTGATGCAAAGTATCGCTTGACGGACCACGTCAAGTCAGTTCAAATATTCATAATACTTCACTTGCTTCTGTTCGAATTGATACTCATTTACCAACCCTTGTGCGGGCTATTTTGTTCTCTCTTCCACAGACCAATCCATTACGCACTCTGCGTCAAGACCGACTTGAATGCTACCCCAGCCCCTCTCTTCGAAGGTACCGCGGAAATAGATCTGTCAATTTTGAAGGAGACAGACCAGATCACTTTCCATGCCGCCCCAGCCCTTGAAATCCTCAAAGTGGTCTACCAATCCAAAACCTCGAATTCTTCATCCCAGCCTCAAGTCATCAAATCGATCGAGCGTGATGAGAAGTTCGAAAGATGCACGGTCAGCGTCGGCCAAAAATTACCAGCCGGCTCGGAGGCCAAGTTGGGAATCGTTTACAAGGGTGTGCTCGAGGGTAGTATGATGGGTTACTATCGTTCTACTTACGAATTCGAGGGAAAGAAGGGATTCTACGGTCTCACTCAATTCGAACCCACTGCTGCTAGACGAGCTTTCCCATGTTGGGACGAACCTGCGATTAGTCAGTCTGTTCTACTCAATAAGATTTACCATTTTCCCGGTGGTTCGTTTTGAGAGGAGGAGGAGGCGGAAGAATTGATCTGTTGAAGTGGATTGCTATATGTAGAGGCAACCGTTCAAGTGACTCAAATCACTAGAGAAGGAACCACCGCCCTAACCAACACCTCCGAGATTTCTAAGGAGTCTTCCGACGGAAAGTTCCCTGAAACTCCACTCCTAAGCTCCGCCATGCTCGAAGGGATCGGGAAACAATCAGCGTCAGCAGAATGGGTGCTGACGAAATTCGAACCAACCCCCAAAATTTCAAGTTATCTCGTTGCCTGGGCTAATGGTACATCATGTCGACTTTTTTTCTTAGACATCCTTGCCTCATATCACATCCCAAATTGATATTCAAGCTTTTTTTTTTCTTAAGGTCCTTTCTGTTCAAAAGAGAGCCATTATATCAGTCCACTTACCAAGAAGAAAATCCCACTTCGGGTCTTTGCAACCGCTGAACATGCTCACCAAACTCAACTATTACTCGACACCACTGCAAGGATTCTTCCGGTGTACGAGAAGGTGATACTATATTTCTTCCAATCCCGGCCTCTCTTGACAAATATTAACTCAGTCGAAATTTGATTTAGATATTCGATATTCCGTATCCTCTCTCCAAAGTTGAGCCATTTAGACACCTCGGGCCAATACCAGTTAACTGAGATTTTGCATGTTCACTTAGCTTGACACTTTGGTCGCCTCCGACTTCGACGCTGGTGCAATGGAGAATGTAAGTGAATAGCTTAATTTTTTACAGCACATGCAACGGGATACTGATAACTTCTTTGGAAATATTAGTGGGGTCTTATTACCTGTCGAGTAAGGATCATAGTGTGATATTTGTTATGTTAACAGTGCATACTGCTGATCTTGAACATGACTTTCATCACAGACCTCGGTAGGTTTGTTTGATGATGCTTCTGGGATTGCGGCGCAAAAACGAGTAGTCACCGTCCAAAGTCATGAGGTTGCGCATCAATGGTTTGGTAACATAGTAACGATGAGCTGGTGGCAAGAGCTGTGGTTGAATGAAGCCTTTGCTACACTGATGGGGTATGTGAATTTTTGAAGAACGGCCAAAGTTTGCAGTAGAAATTCTGACACTTCGACTCTCTACCACTCCTAATTGCTCAGTGAACTTGTCATCATCTCAGAAGTCGAACCCGATTGGCACGCTGAGGATGACTTCATTAATGCTCATCTGTCAAAAGCCCTTAGCCTTGATGCTAAAAGATCATCACATGCCGTTGAAGTACCTTGTCCAAACCCGGAGATGATCAATCAAATTTTTGATGCCATATCGTAAGCATTTACTGTTGACTTGAACGCTTGTTCTGAATTTAACTCGTGGTTTCATTATCTTCTGACTTTTCTTTTTCTTTTTCCAGCTACTCCAAGGGAGCTTCAATTTTGAAAATGCTGGCAAACTTTGTTGGGAAGGAGAAGTTCCTACATGGAGTGTAAGTGTATTTTTCATGAGGAATCGACTTTCATCTTCCTTGAATGCTTATATCGCGGTTGGAACTGTTAGTTCGCTGTATCTCAAAGCGCATCTATATGGAAACGGGACAACAAAGGATCTCTGGGCAGGAATTACCAAAGCAACGGGCGAGGATATCAACAAGATCATGAGCAACTGGACCGGTAAGGTCGGCTTTCCTGTTTTGACAGTGGCGGAAGAGTCAGATGGATTGAAAGTCTCTCAAAAGAGATTTCTATCCACCGGTGATCCGAAGGTGAGACCGTTTTGGCCTAGCTGTTAAGCTTCTAAAAACTAACTAAGCTGTACTTGTTCCACAGCCTGAAGAGGATGAAACCTTGTGGTTTATCCCATTGGAAATAAAAGTGGTTGATGGATCAGGTACCGTCACTGTGAAGCGTGATGTACTTGATTGTCAACGTGAAGGCAAAATTGCTCTTCCCAGTCCTCAGTCAACAAATTATAAGTTAAACGGCGATACTTGTGGAGTTTGTCAGTTGTTTAATTTCATCTCACAAGGAAATTCTGAGCACAGGAGTGGCAGTTGGGATCGGAGACTGACAACTTTGATTTTCGTTAATTTTCAGATCGAGTTTGTTACCCGGCTGAGCGCTTACAGAAGTTAGGCCAGGAAATTTCCAAACCGAATTCTGTATTCAGCGTAGCGGATAAGATGGGTTTGATCCAAGATGCGATCGTGCTTGCACAAGCTGGTTACTCTTCCACTTCGAGCGCGCTTGATATCCTTTTCCCATTAGGGGGAGAACGGAATTATCTGGTTTGGTCGGAGATCACCTCGGCCCTTGACTCGGTTTCTGCTATCTTGTGGGAAGAGGGGCAACAAGTCATCGATGGATTCAATAAGTTTGAGCGACAGTTGGTCTCCTCCTTGGCTGAGGAAATCGGCTTTGACACCCTCCCAACCGATGATCAAGATCGGATTCAATTGAGAGTGTTAATTTTGGCCGCGGCAGCACGAGCAGAGGATCCCAAGTGAGCTCAAGACACCCTATCCCTTGTGCAGCTTTTTTCTTTTCCTTCTGATGTGTAAAATTCCGGCTGATCTTCTCTTATTTCATTCAATTGAATGATCATCCAGAGTTTTGAGCGAGATCCAGAGCCGATTTGCGAAATTCATGGAGAATCCAAGTGGGGCCAAATCGCTCATTCCAGCTGACTTGCGCAGGCTTGTCTTCACTTATGCGGTCAAGCAAGGTGGCGAAAAGGAGTACGAGGCGATCTTGAAGGTCTATCACAAACCCAGCAATCCGTCCGATAAGATCGCGGCTATGGCTGCCCTCTGTGCTTCCAAACATCCCGAGCTTATTTCTCGTACCTTGTTAGTCCACCCCTCTCTATTACGATTTTCTCAGCTATCTGTTCTTGTATTGGAGTCTGATTCGGGTTGATATATGCAGTGACTTTATCCTCAATGGAGAAGTCAAAGAACAAGATTTGTAAGTCAGGATGTTTTCGCTAGACGTTATTCTTTTTTTCAAGACAGTAAACTAACCTGGTCAACAAAATCACATTAAATTCAACAGCATGTATTTCTTTTCGGGTCTGGCAAATAACCGTGTCTCTCGTCGAGATATGTACAAATTTGTCCAAAAGAATTTAGATCAGCTTTTGGTCAGATTCAAGGGGAACTTCTCAATTGGCAGATTGATCCAATACTCCTTCGACCGATTCACTACTGAAGATGATCGTAAATCTGTGATCGAATTCTTCAAGGATAAAGAGTAAGTCTCTGGTGCCACCCTTTCTTCTTGAATCTCTAATTGGACTCAACTTTTTTGTTTTTGGTGTGGGTTTGGTAGTACTTCGATCTACCAATCGGCTCTCGATCAAGGTCTTGATACCATCAAGAGTAACGCTGCTTGGCTCAGCCGAGACAAGCAACACATCATCGACTGGTTGAAGAGCAAGCAGTTCTTGTAGTTTGCCTCTCCTCAATTCAAGTCTCTTTTTATCTCAAGTAATTTGTACATGGAGCAACAAGAGATGAACACACACGAAGTATCCATAACAGAAATTGCTCTCACAAACTGTCGATTATTAATCATTCACATATTTGTTAATTGTGCATATAGATGAACAGATATGTAAAATTTTGCCTACTTACTGGCATGCTTTTATGTGCATCAGACACAGATGAACCCCTTCAGCATAAAAAAAAGGAAATTAACAAACACTTAGTCTTTCCTTCGTTTGCTTTCCATTGACGGTTCAGTAGCCGTGATAGGCAAGGCCTGCACGCTTAGAGTTAACTCCGTAGAGGCAAGGAGCTCAGGCTCATGAGAGCCTTGTAGAACGGATGGCGCTTGATTACTAACGACGGATAACTGCTTGAAGGAAAGAGTCTACAAATTTTTGAACGAGTCTATGGATTCTTCCAATGTTTCTCGACATCTGACCAACAAACCAGTACAAAATACTGATGTGTTGTGATCACTCCTGTCCTTCACGACATACATAGTTCTGAGTCCGACACAACCATCATCGAGCCTGATCAAACCCGACCTTCTCTGATTATCTGCGGTAATCTGTGATAAATTCAGCATACTCAGATAGCCTGAAATTTGCACCGTAGATTTGCCGGTCAAACGGCTTCGATGGCACCAATCATACAAGTGCCCATTCCAGGTGGCAGCCAGGAGTCAAACGTTTATTCCTGGGAGGGCTTGGGAGTACTCCAACTTGCAGTTCCTACTTCCGGCCGGTAGGCTAGATGATGTGTCCAGTCCAAAACACAAATAGATGTATGGGTCTCTAGTAAACGAAATCATTATATATAGACAACCTGGTCCCTTCTAGCTTCCACAGCCAACAATTACCTCAGGCTCCAGCTTTCAGAATCAATCCAACTAGACCAAGTGTCATACATACGATAATATATTCCCTTAATTTTCAATACTTTTCCTCCAAACGTATGTAAATAAAATGCACTCACGCTTCATGCTTGTGGGCTTGTGCTCCATCTCAGCGACTTTTGATGGGGTCATCGGGCCAGTGACTGGAGCCGGCGCAGAAAGGGGTGGTGGTGGACTCAGTCATAGTGATTTTTTTTTTAGATAAAGATTGATTCCCTACAGCAGAATCGCCTATTCGAATTACCTTGAGGCTGATTTTGTCTTCTCCATCATCATTTCCTACACAAACTCCCAATTATCCTACAAAGCACCCCCAGTTGCACTTGCTAGACAGGACTCCGCTGGTGATGGGGAACAGCTAACCTCAAAAGTCGCTCAAATTGATGTCCCCGGGACATCCACTATAACCACTGCAGCTCTTCCCGATGGCAACCATGAACACAAATCACCAGAAAATCCAATCCAACTGGACACTCCAGTGGCAGCCACCAAGCTGACTACTACTCATGATAAGGAGGAGCACTCGTCAAAATTCGCTTCAACCGATATCTCGAGGAGGTCGACAACAGTAGCTCGGGCTGATGGCAGGCAAGAAATAGAATTGCTTTCCGAAAATTCAATACATTCGGACACTCCAGTGGCAGGAAACAAGCAGACTACTCACAAGCGTTAGTCAACTCTCATCATCCTGACTATTGATAAGGATGTGATTAATAATTTTTATGATAATCATCTCGATAATCATCCCAATGCTTTCAGATACCCAGAAAGCTATAGGTGAGTTATTCTTTGATTTAGAGTCGTATTAGTATGACAAGCTGATATGTATGTTTTACATTTTGATAGAATATAGTTTGAGCTTGCTCAATCATGATTTTAAAACACTTTGCCAGTTGTTTGAAGAACATCAAAACCCAAAGGAAGTTGACTTCTTTTTTCCAACTCAACCTGCTCATATAAATTTAGTTAATGATATTCAAGAAAACATAAGCATTTTGAAGGAGCTGAAGCTTTGGGAATTAGGAAGATTTGATCTGATTTCCAATTGGAACATTTTCAAGCCTACTGTTTCAGAAAAATCTAAAGATGAATCAGATCCAAAGATTGAAAAGCAGTATAAAATTGCCACCATCTCAAAAGAAAAAGGGAAAGAATTGGGGGTTTCCATTTTGGAGAAAATACAGAGAGGAGTGGTTCATTATGAAATCCTTCCTTATAACAGAAATTATTCAAGGGAATTCATACTTCCAGATTCAAAATATATGGCCTACTTATTACATTCAATTGATTTCTTATGGAAGAATGGATTTATTACAAATGAAAATGTGAAGATAGCATTTCAAGATGATCTATTCTTGATGAGGGCAAGTCTTTACATCAAGAAATACTATTATTACGAACTACACCTTATAAGAGATATGGGCAGTACTAGTATCAATGCGAAGTGGTTTGGGACATTGGGATTTCAATTTTTGGAAGGTAAGTCATTTTCCACAATGCATAGTTGTACATATTGAACCATGACATTACTTCCATGTTGATTTTATATTCTTTAATTTTCTTTGTCAATGCAGCACTAGAAACTCAAGATCATTTGAAGATAAAATTGGAAATGATCAAGCAAGCTGCTTTTGAAATGAAGGAAACTTTTGAGTACCATCTTGGAGGAAAACCCCAAGGATTATATGAATTCTGTGAATTACTCTCAAGTCAAAAATACTACAATCACCTGAAATCTGGAAATGGGTTTATAAATTCTGAGAAACAGCTTGGTCCCTCAATTTTAACTGTGGATGAAGTCAAAGAGGATGTCAAGAAAGCACTTGGTAGCTCTATTAAAACATTCAGTCCATACATTGAGTACATGATCTTCAATGGGTGTGAAATTTACATGTCAAAAATAATGTGTGAATTCCTACATCTAATTGAAACTCATATTTGTCCTGGTATTATAAATCAGGCAACAAATGAAATGAAAATCAACATTCAACGAAATCCGTCTACTCGAGCAGAGTATCTGGAGCTGCATAATCAAATGGAATACTATAGGGAAAATCTAGTAGAGTACTATCAACACGATGCCTTAGACTACTATAAATTTATTGTTATATTTTCAAAGATTCAGGACCTCAAGCAAAGTTCAGAAGCTTTTGAATATTTAAAACCGGATCAAATCAAAATGTTGGAAAATCAAGATGTTGATGTTAGAGCAATCCAGGAGGATTACAAAGAAAGAATAAAATCACTAAATCTACAATATAAAGAGGCATATGACACTCTACAGAGAGACAATTGGGGGTGGGAAATGTGGTTGAGAGACCATGAAGAATTACGTCAAATTTCTAAAGAGGTTTCAAATCAATTGAAGTCCAATTATTCACAACGCATTGTGAAACTCTTTCACAAATTATCATCATTTCTGGGATAATTTATATTTGTTAATGTATCTTCCTAACAATTTCTATCATTCACATACATCCCTTTTCAATGTTGAATCAATTCTTTTTTACTTTCTTAAAAGGTGTTTGCTCACAATAGGTATTCTGATTTCTACCTCATCCGAAGCTCCTTTCTGTCTCTGACTTTTTATTTATTATCTGGTTCTGGCCATTATTATCTGTTGGATTTAAATCTTACAAATCTGGTTCTGGATCATAATTATCTTTCAAATTTTTATCTCCAACTAGGGATTTTCATCAACATTTAATTTTGTAGCTAGAGGATGTGTGCAGCTGCGCCTAATTAGGTAACCCAACACATTGGTCAAATATTGTTGTCCCTTGGTTTGAGGAGAATGTGATTGCTCTTCCTTCAGGGTTTTGCCAGCCAACCAAGTTGGTCTCAAGTGTTTCAATGATTTCAAGAAAGCATCAGTTGTTGTTGGGATTTATCCTCTCTCCCACTCAACTTTCTCCTCTCTCCCACTCAAATTTATCTGCTCTCCCACTCAACTTTTTCTGCTCCTGCTCTGTAGACTGTTTTGATCTGATCTATTCTTGTTCTCATTGTTTTCTCTTCCTCTTCCTTCTTAAAAACTAATTGTTCCTTGATTATTCAAAACCACATTCTCCACCTCTCAACTTTCTCTCCTCCAAACTCCTAACCTAACCAGTATTCGCAACTCTCAATCCTAAGTTGACTCTTTCACCAATCAGATATAAATAGAACCTAAACCATCCAATCTCCCACTCTTTTACACTCAGCAGTCTCTGAAATCTACTACAAAAAACTTTCCTCAACTTCAAAACTATCACCTCCAGCTCTACTGCTTGGCCTGTCCTCAACTTCATTCAAAAACTTTGATCACTGTCAACTCATTCAACAATTCCCTTCTTCAGTTTCCTTTGACTCCGCTTCTTTCTTTTCTGTAACCTGTTATTCTCTCTTATCTCTTGTTTCCCTTATTTACCGTTGTCAACTCCACATCATCTCAAATTGGATACAAACTTCAATCATTTTTGTTCTGAAAATTGTCACTCTTGAAATACTCACTTGGATCTTGCCAGTTTTGTGAGAAAATCTAACCAACTCATCTAATTTGGATTGACATTAACCTTTTTTCTTTCTCATGTAATTCTTTTTTCTGGTTCAACAGTGTCTACTATCTGTCATTGTTTGATCTCCTTTATTTCAGCCTTTCTGTTCTGCCTGATTCAAAAGCCAACTCTAATCATGGTAAATTTCTTTCTGCTTAATTTTATGATTGTTTCTTATTTTTGATCTCTTATCAAAACTCAAAATTTTGTTTTGCATTTTGTCAGTTCTTGCTCTAGTTTTAATAACATTTCATGTTTTTCATCAGTTGGTGTAGTTTTCAAAGGTCCCTTCTGAGGGGCACAAATCAGTTTACAATAATTTTTGTCAGAGTGTCAAGGGGGAAAAATTTACCACATTTGTTGAGCAGCTGGGCTAAGACATGGGGGGAGGCATTGTTTCCAGAGAATCCTGAATGTGTCAATGTCACCAACAGACAATATTCCAACGTTTCTTGCGGATTGTTTAAGTTTTTAAAAAAGATTTAGGGTTCCGGATCTGGTTGGTGAGAAGATTAAAGCTGGATCTTGACATGTGAGCGTGTATACAAGAAGTTGACTGTCAGTTGGTATGGGTGTCTGGGTGAATATAATAAACACAGGTTGGCCCATTGCATGAAAACATAGCCTCCAATACCTTCTGAAAATAAGCTGAAAGATGAAGAAAATTCTTGCTCAGAATAAGAAGAATCTCATATGAACTCAGGGACTATCAATATTTGAGTACAAGAATGATTAGTTGAACACAACTGACATTGCAGCTAACAAGCCTTTTTGTAT